TTGATGTACCATCGTTGTAATTACATATAAAACTTCATCTATACTCTAATAAAAAGTTCCCCAGACCAAAGAGGTTATCTTAATACCAAAAAAAAAAAGATATCTTCAAAATCTAAGTAAAGTTGTAAAGAGGATAATTTTGAGTCAAATGGTGGTTAGATTATCAAAATTAGAAATTAAAGATCTAAATATAAGGATTAACAAATTTGCTATTATACAAAAATCAATACTTTGTATAATAGTGACTTTGCTGATCCTTATGTTCACACCATTAACCCAAGATATCTCAAGAACTACTAGGCCAATTTTGATGATCTAATCACCATTTGACTCAGAATTATCTCCTCTACAACTTTATTTAAACCTTGAAGATATCTTTATTTAATAACTTCTTATATAAATTTAAAGAATTTATTGACAAATCAGAATAACAAATTTAATATTATACAATTTAAATGAATTATTTATATTAGTAATCTAAACGTTATTGTTACACACACATTTTTTTAGTATATAGTTATAGATGTGATTGAGATGTCACTATTTAAACAGATCCTTTTATTGGAGATATTATTTTAAATAGAGATATTCAGAATATACAGTTTCGCAAATATATAATGCCACATTTAGAAACTGAATTAAAAGTAGAATGTGGAGGATGTGAATTTCAAGATCATGAGATAAATTTATGTTTAAACTTTAATAAATTAAAAGTTTGTTTATAAGAAAATGATCAAAACACTGTTAAGATTTTTAATCAGGGAATTTTGCTTTAGTTGGTTTCGTAGATTATTGCAACATATTTTATAAATTTAGACGAGAAAATAAAGATAAGAATTTTTTATTTTTTGGTAAAAATTTTAGTTCAACAGAAGCTAGATTGGGTAATCTATTCTTTTTTTCATGGTGGGTATGTTGAAACATCGTGGAAACCCAATTTTGAGATAGCCAGTTTTATAGAAAATTTATTTTCACTTGTTCAAAAATGTTGTAAAAAATAGATTATATTTTTTTTTAATTTATTTATTTTTTATTTATTTTTTTTTTTTATAAATATTGGATTTTTTCTTTAATATTAAATAAATAAATTTGAATATGTCATTTGATTTTAGATGTAAAGTTGATTTAAAAACTTATAAAAAATGTTGTTATAAAAAATGAATTAATAAATCAAATAATAAACTAAAAGATAATAAATTTTATAACTATTTTTTAATTAAAATGTTAAATATTCTACAAAATAATTCACCAAATGATAATGAATTTCAAAAAATACGTAATCAAATTTTATTAACTTTTGAATTAGAGTTATTAAGAAACGGTGGAGAAATAGATTTAAAAATTCAAATTTCGAGTTTAACAAATATACAAAAACAACAATTACAAGAGTTACGAGCTAAACAAATGCATTGTGTGATAAGATTTAATAAAATAAAAGATAGAATCGAAAATGAAACATTAGAAAATATAGAAAGATTACATAAATTTCAATTCTGGCATCGAAAAATACTTGAGAAGTTATTATTTACACAACAACAACAAAATCGATTGAATAAATTAAGATTAGCTAGATTAGCATTTTGGACAGAATATTTGGCAGAATATAATATATTTGTAGAACAAATTCAAAATGAAACAGATTTATGTAGATTACGAGGATTTTGGATAACTAAAATTAATAACTCTCAATTCATAAATAAAAAAAAATTAAATCTTTATAAAATACGTAAAGAACATATTAGAATTTTATTAGAACAATCACAACAATCTGATTATAAAGAATACAAAATGGTATATTTAAAGTAACTAATATCACAAACTTGAAAATTGATAGATATTGGTTTAAAGAGATAAATAGAAGTAGTTTAAGCGTAAATCAACGAAAAGAATTAAATGATTTACATACTAAAACCTTAATTGCTTTATCAAATAAACAATATGATGAGATTAGAAAAGAAATTTTAGAAATTTTTATTAGAAGATAGAGGAAATATAGATAGACAAATTCGATTGTTGAAAGATGATAATCTGACTGATGAAAGACAAACAATAAAATTACAGGAAATGTGTTGTGGACATTTACAAGATTTATTACAAATGAAAGAAATAGCAAATTATGATCGACTTGAACGTTTGTTGCATACATATGTTAGAAGACAAAGAGTTGAGTTATTATCAAATAAAAGTATTCTTACAGAATCTATTAATGATCTTAATCAAACATTGTTAGAAAATGATAGAGATCGATTATTGTTAATACAAACGAGAAAAACTCGATACAATAACCTTTTATATGATATAACAAAAAGACAAATGCGAGCAGAAACAAACAGAGAAACTTTAGCAAATGGAGAATGTTATGATCTTATAATTTAGTTATTAGTAGAATCTGTTCTTGAATCTCCAAGAACAATTCAAATATTACAAAATTTAAGACAAGAACTTTACAATAAAATAACACAATCATTATATAGAATTAAAAAAATTAAAAATCTAAAAGAAGCATTTGATTGGTTAATAAATTTGTTAGAGAAAAAAGAAAAAATATATAATCTTTTTAATAAAATAATAATAAATTATATTATAGAATATCCAAATGGAAAATATATGAATAAATTACAGGAAGAAAAATATTTTAACGATGAGATCGATAAAATAGATGAAAAAACATATTTGTATGAAAAACAATTTCTTCGAAATTTAAAAGAACAGATAAATGAAATGTACAATGATAAAGAAAAAGATCATTATTTTATTGATTTAGAAGATGATGTTGATATGTTTAATGAAAATATAACAAATTTTATAGATAAAACTATAAAAAAAATATAATATATAAATTGATAAAGGAAATTTACCAAGAAAGTGGAGTAGCATGGATGAGAGAAATCAGTAAAAAAGTAAAAGATACTCATGATGAAGTATCTTTTTTTAAAAAAATAAGACCTACTATCACAAACTCAAGATTCAGAAAACATTTTGATAAAATACTTAAGGATTATTTTTTTAAAAAAATCAGAAGAAAATAAAGAAAATAATAAAGAAAAAGGAAAAAAACATAATCTTGAAGATAAAGATATCTCAGATCCAAAAAGAAGAAATAAGAGAATAATGAAACCAGAAAAAGAATATAATAAAAAATCGATCTCATTTGTGCGTTCAATATTGGTGAAATGTGAATTTATGGAAGATGTTTCTCCTTTAACAATCAGTGCTATTTTTGATATATATAAAGAAGTTGTTAACACGAGTGATGAAGAAATGAAAAACTTAAAAACAATAATCATAAATAATTTAGACAATTATCTTGATGTTTTATAGTCAACAGCATATTCTTCAGCATTAGCAACATTGATTGATTTTTACAAGAAAGCAAAAGCAAGATATTTCACAAAACTTGATATTGTGTACAAAATATTGGTATTACAAAGTCCAGATCTCGAATTGAATGAATTAATTGAAAATATCTTTGACGGTTTAGAAGTATGAGTGAGTTAAATGAGGGTTCAATATCATCTGAAGTTAAATGTATTAATAATTTAATTAAACAATACAAAGAAAAACTTATTAAAAAGGAAACAGAAATATTAAAACTTCAAGAACTTGTTACGGCTAATTTATCTTTTAAACAGATATTTAATCGAAAAGATATAGAAAAATTAATAATTAAGGAATTTTTTTTATCAAAAATATCTTTTATAAATTTATATATATATATATTATCACATATTTTAATCAATATTGTAATGATTTTTTTTATAATATATATTCTTTACAATTTAAATCCTAATATACGTATAAAGTGTGTTGCGATATAATATCATCGTTAGAAACAGATGATTTACAAATTTGGTACAATTATTTGGTAAAGAAAGTTGAAAAAATATCAATAGAAAAAGATCATTTAGATCAACAAATGCAAGAATTAGAAGATGAAAATTATAAATTGAGAAAAAGAATTAGGCAAAACAATTCTTCACCAAATATTTTTACATTAATAATATCATATTTTTTTGTTTTTATTAGTTTTATTATTATTATTATTGTATTTATCAATTCAAATTCAATACATGTTAAATGTATTATTATCTAATAAACTATAAATATCCCTTCTTTTATTAAATAAAAAATAAAAATGAAAGCATTAAAAAAATTAATCATTTTTTTCATTATTTTTCTTCTTTGTTTTACAACTTTATATGTTGATTGTAAAACTATATGATCATGTAGTTGTCGTAAAAGAAGAAAAGAATTTTAAATCATATTCTTAAAAGAATTAAATTATATTATTGATACTGTAACAATCATATAAATAACCAAATAAAGCTATCTTTATTATTATAATTAAAAATGTCTACTAATAATATAAAAAATAATCCAAAAACTGGAACAGATCCTCTATCAAATAATCATAATCATTTTAATTATATTTTTAGAAATGCTAGATTACATATAGGTAAAGGTGATATAGCTACTTATTCAAATTGTCCATTAATAATCAAATTTACAAATAATTCAATTGTACTACAATCTAATAAACCTAATTGTAGTCAAACAACACCATGGATTGGTTATTTTAGTAGAGGAAATAAAACCCTAGTTTAGGTAGTTTGTTAATAATAACATGTGAATATATAGTAAAACAAGAAGAACAACTAGCTAATAGATCAACAAATAATAATCGAATTTCAGAAATAATTAAAACTATATTATTACAAAATAATAAAAATAGTGTCATTGAAATAATAGAAGCAGAATTATATTTAAAATTTTCTTTATTATTAAATAATTCAGGAACTCTTGGATCACCTCCTGAAAATTTAACTAATATCAGTTGGGGATATTATGATACGATAGCTTATTTACATAGTGAAATAGTTTTACGTAAATTACTTTTACAAATTACACAAAAAGAAAGCGTGAAGGTAGTAGTAGTATAATTAGACAAAATGATTGGAATCAATTAGCACAAGCGATTACTAAAAATGCTAGACCAGTCACGAATAAATCAACATTTATTACAGAAATTCAATGATTATTATCTTAACAAGAAGAAAATAAACAACAACTTAATGAAATTAAAAAAATAACTGATACAATATTCAAAGATATTGCTCAAAATAATGTTTTACCAATTCAAGATAATGTTTTAACTAATTTAACAGTTCTTTCTCAACATATATTTGGAGAAATAATCTCCGAGATTTTTAAAATCATAAAAAATATTAGACTTGAAAAAGAAATAATTTTTCCAAGTATTATTTCACAACTACATATTACTTAATTTACTATTGATATTAATAATACCAAATAATATATTTATTAATAAAATTAAATAAAATTAATTACAATCATATTTATTAAGAGTTTTAAGATAACCTGTTTTCAAATCATATACTAAACCATAAATAATAATTTTTTTATCACTAATATTCATATTAGATATAGTAGAAACTTGTTTTTTAATATTAAGGTCTACTAATATTTTTTTTTGTTCTTCGATTGATTTATTCGTAAAAAGTAATTGGATAAATAAGTGTCTTTAACATCGGATAACTATTTATCAAAATTATTATTTTGAGTATCATTTGCTGTATCTATAATATGACCAACTCTGCCGCAACCATAATGATCTATAAAAATATATATTAATATTCGTTTGTTATATTAAATAAATTCAGATCCACAAATAATTATATATTGAATATTTAAACTTTTAATAGCATATTCTAATAATGATGTTGCATTTAAATCATTAATTTTAAATTGATTGGCAATATTTCAAAGAATAAAAAGTTCACCAAGGCCTGATTGAGTAATTATTTCAGGAAGACATCTACTATCAGAACAACCAATCCAAATACATGATGGTTTTTGTGTGATTGAATTGCTATTAAAATAATTTGGATAGTATAAATTTATATGTTTAGCTCATTCTTTATTATTTTCAATTAATTTATCAACTGGATTACTCATATTGTCTAATATATTTTTTTTATAAATATATTTAAAGAAATAAGTCTTCTATTTATTATTTTTTAATAATAATAAAGTGATTAATAATTTAACTGTCAATTATTTTAAAAACGAAAATAAAAATTTAAAAATATGTCTCGAAGAAACAAATGAGACAATTGAACTTCTTTGAGAAAGAAATAAAATTTATAAAGGAATAATTGATACTCTTGAAAAAAGCAATAAAATATATTTTTAATTATTATTTTTAGTATTCTTTTTTGTTATTACAATAATAATAAATTTAAAATAGCATTTTTAACTATAATAATTATTTTTTTTATTTTTTAAATTTAAATAAAATTATTTAAAATTATTTAAAAATGAATTCTATAAATTATTTTTATGTTTTTCTCGCCAAATAAATTCTTTTAATAAAGGATTAATGATATCTCTTTGTCTTTTTGGTTTTGGAATAAAAATTTTAAGCAAATTCCATTAACTTTCGATATGATTTGTATAAATATGTCTAATTCTTTGTCTTTGATTTGGTCTTGAATGATTAGTTCATATATGTTTCATTCCAAGACTTTCTAGATTTTGGTATCCTTTCCACATATCAGAATATATAGTTGATCCTGGTTTAACATGTTGTTTTATAACTTTTGTAAGTGTTTCAACATCACGATTTTTAACAACAACAAAAAAATATTTTTTTCTTTTGTGCGTTCAATCCCACTTATGATCCACAACCCATTAAAAAGAGATTTATCAATCTCAACTATTACTCTAGATCTACTCACAATAAGATCTTCTGGTGTTAAGAAATTAATAACCAAATTTCTAAAATCTTTAATAAAATTACGAATACTAATTCTAGAAATACTTGTTATTTTATGAATTTGTTGAATTCTAAGTTTATGAATTCATAAATATCCTATAAAAAGAATATTATTACATTTTAATCTATGTTGCGAAAAAAAATATAGTAACCATTTTTTTACAAGTTGAATTTCTATATCTAAAAACATTTTCTTTAAGATAAAGATACAATTCTTCATTACAAAATTTACATTTTTCAGGATTTTGAATAATTTTTTCATCAATTAAAAATTTAACACATTCTTTTTTTTCAAAGAAAATTTTATATAGCATTTTTAAATTTTGTCTATTCATTTTTATTGATAAATAAATACAATTAATATTTTCTTTTATAGTTTTATAAATACTTTTATATTAAAAATAAATTATAAATATTTTATTACTTTCTCATTCATATTTCCTGTAATTTTATTATGATTTAATTTAAAATCTATCACTTGTTGTTTTGTTTTAAATTGTTTTGTTTTAAGTTTATTATTTTCATACCATTGAAATTTCTAATATTTATATTTACCAATTTTATAAAAACTAATTGCACTATAGCCAGATATATTATTTTTTTGTAATTTACAATTTAATGAATTTTCTCTAAATGTTGTTTCTCTAAGATTAGATTTACGATTATCAAGACCATTTTGGTTAATATAATTTATTATCTTATATTTAGGATATATCATTCTATGAAATCTAATAGTTTTTCTTTGATTATTTTTTCTAATATATGCTTTAATATAATAAGTATTTCTATGTTTATTAGAAAACCAATTATAATTTTGAATTAAATGATAGTTGTCTAGATTTGTAAGAAATGTTAATTCAGAGTTTGTTGCTTTGACTTCTAAAAAAAGTGTCGCATCAATCTCAACAATTCAATATTCATTTGATTTTCTTCATGGTTTAACAATTGGTACTTTAGACCAACCAGATAACACTTCATAACTTGGAAATTTTTCTTTCCAGTCAACATTTTGTTTAATAATAAATTAAAAATTTGATATATTTATATTTTTTTATTTTTCTCTGAGTCAAACTTTAAAAAATTTATTGGTTAATTATATGATTTGTTTTCATCATCTTTTTTATTTCTATTTTAAATTAAGATCATCTTTTTTTTACTATAATATATGTTATATGTTTTGTTTTTTTTTTATTTTTAAATAAAAAAAACTAATGTTATTTGTGTTTTATAGATGTCTTTACAAGAAAGTATTGATGAAGTTATTGAAAAAAGTCATGAGTTGCAAGGTTCTTTACTTG